TTGTTCAATTTAAATGGACAAAGTATCATCACTAAATCTCTACATATAGGACTTTTAGTTATCACCTTGAAGTTATTTCAATCTCGAAGCCATGGAATCTAAGCGTTGTACAAGGGATGTTTTGTCAACCAATTTTGGAACAGATGTAGAACGAATTTTGGAAGTCCCAGTTGGTCGTGGGCTAACAAACGACAAGTGGATTTGGCACTTTACACCGAATGGGAATTTTTCGGTACGGTCGTGTTATCATGCGATCGTTACATCCTCATCGGCGTCGGACAATGCTGGGATGGCTGGTGGGAATAACGAAGAAAACGCTCGACGTTCGAAACAGATTTGGGGTTTGTCCATTCCACCGAAAATACGGATCTTTTTGTGGCGGCTCTGTGGAAATTCGCTTCCCTCAAATGCTGAGCTTTATAGGAGGAAGGTGAGTAGTTCTCCAATCTGTGGTAGGTGCAACAATGGCATGGAAACAACCATGCATGCGCTCCTTGAATGTAGTGATGCGGGGGTTGCATGAACTAATTTCTTGGGGCCACAACATCACTGGCGAAATTTCGAATCGAATTGGCAATGGTTTTCGAGTATATCCGATTCCCTCAATGATGGTGATTTTTTGGTAGCGGTGGTCCTTCCATGGAAGCTCTGGGAAAGACGTAACAAGGCCATCAAAGGAGAAGAGGAGTCGCAAGTCCTTGATCTCTCGGCTTGGTGCAAAAGCTATCTAGCAACATACAGAACGGCGCAATTTATACCAAATGAGACCATGCAACCGGCACACCCAAGCGTCTGGATTCCTCCCCCCCGTGGGCGTCATAAAAATAAATTTTGATGCAGCGGTGACCCAGGGGCAGTGCGAGTTTTCGATTGGGTTGGTGGCGAGAAATTCCGACGGCGTTTGCGTCTACTGGAGGCAGGTTAAGGTTCGTGAGAAATTCCGACGGCGTTTGAGTCTACTGGAGGCAGGCAGGCTATGGCGGCTCTCAAAGCGATTGAACTGGCAAGAAGTAAGGGATGGAGGTCGGTAGCTTTCGAAGGGGATAATATGCAAGTTATCACAGCACTTCATGAAGGAAACTGTTTTTCTTCTACTTGAGGTGCGATCATTGAAGATTGTGTTATGTTAGTTCGTGATTTCGCCTAATGTTCTTTTCAATTTGTTAAGCGTGGTGGCAATGCTTTAACTCACACCGTTGCTAAACAGCTCTGTAACCAATTCTCGGAGGGTCTTCTTTTCCACCACACTTGGTTTTTTCCACTCAATAAAATAACAGTTATTTTCTAAAAAACAAATCTCTACATATATAATTTCAATAAATACACTTATCACAGTTTTTTTTTCCTGGTTGTTTTTTTCCTTACATATGTTCGGTGTTTTTTCTTACATATAAAAAACACCGAACATATGTGTTTCTATTTATCGGGAAATACACTTTTCGTCCCTCATGTTTGCCTATTTCACTTTTGGTCGTCCTTGTTCCAAAGTGAACAAATTTCATCTCAAAGGTTCAATTTTAAACACATTTGGTCCCTTCCGTCACGTGTCCGTTCACATCTAACGGAAAACACTATTCCAGGGCCACAATTGAAATTTAAAATTGTTTTGGGTCTGGAAAACAATTAAAAATTTAAAGTACTATTTATAATCAATCTCTAAATAATATTAGGTATAAATAAATAAATAAATTTAATAATATGTAATTGTCAAAACGAAGATGACGGCGGGACAATTTGTTTCTGGCGGCGACTATATGCAATCTCACAAATTACTTAGGGGAAGACCAAATCTAATTTTTCACCAAACGAATTACTAAAAGACTATTACAAAACTCCACAACTACAAATACAAAACCCACAATTACAAAACTCCACAACTTGCTTTGTGCAAGACCACACCAGCAAAACCCATTTTATCTTCTTCACAAACCCATTTCACACAAATTCTTCGAAAAATATTCTTCATCTTCTCTGAAAATTCTCAACACCCAAAACCCTCAAATCTTATTAAAACATGCAGAGGATACCATTATGGAGTCACGAAATATCAATATGGAGAATTCTATAAAAAAAAAATAGAAAACAAGCTATGAATGAATGTATTTTTATAGCTAGGCGATCGATTTTTTACGTTTTCAAAAAGAAAATTCGCGCCGTCAAAATTCGACACTTACATGTCGATTTTTGTCTAGATCTTCTTCTTCTTTCTCTTCTTCTCCTCCTCCTCCTCCTCCTCCTCCTTCCTCCTCCTCCTCCTCCTCCTCCTCCTCCTCATTCTTCTTCTTCTTCTTCTTCTTCTTCTTCTTCTTCTTCTTC